GTGGCCCAGTTCAGCGGGCTTAGGGTTCAACTTTTAAGGTTTAGGATACTTGGAGGGTCAGGGGGACTTAGTAAGTATAAATGATTTTTGACCCCTATAAGCCACATAAACTCTCTTCCCCAATGACCATGGCTAAAAAGTTTAAACTATATTATAGACTCCCGAAAAGGAAGCCCAAAAAGGTTCAAGTGCTTCTATTGGCTATGTAAGTAAGTGTCCCAGCTATCCCCTGCGTTGACATAAGTACTACGTCGCCGTGTTACTGTAGACCTAAAACCTGAATCCCGACATTCCTTACTCAATCCCTGTGAACCCTCTATACATCTATATACATATATATGTGTATCACTATACATCCCCATATTGCCCCATGTATCCCTATATATCCCTATATCCTCTTTACAGGGCCCCAAAACCCCAAACCCTCCAAGCATATAGCAACCCTAAACCCTCAACCGTAACCCCTAAATCGAAAGGCCCCTAAAAAATCGATAGTCCTCCTTAGGTAGGTAGAATATGGGGATATGGGGATCTTGTCATAATATATCCAAAGCCATATTCTATCCACTTAAGGGGGACTATAACCTTGCAAAAAAGAGCAACCCCAAACCCTCAACCCGAAGCCTGAAGGCCGCTAAAATCCTAACCCTCCGATTATGCAGGACAACCCTGAACCCAAAACCTTTATAGTCCCCCTTACGTAGATGGAATATGGCTTTGGGATATTTCAATAAGATCTCCATATACCCAGATTCTATCTACGTAAGGGGGACCATAAAATCCCAACCCTCCATCTTTGTCATTCCTTACTGAGCACCTACATATCCATCCATCCCCAAATCCTGAAGCCCTGAAACCGTGATACCCTAAAACCCTAAACTCCTAAAACCCCCAAAACCCTCAAACCCAAAAGCCTAGAACCCTAAAACCCTAAACCTTAAAAACCCTGAAGCCCTCAAAACCTAAACCCTAAAATCCCAAAACCCAAAAGCCTAAGACCCTAAAATCCTAAAACCCGAAACCCCCAAAACCCCAACACCCTAAAACCCCAAAAGCCTAAAACCCTCCCAGCAGGCCTCGAGCATGCGAGGCTTCCTCGTTGCTGGGCCCGGAGAGGACGGGGGAAGCCCACGCCCTCAGCCCGACTCGGTTTAGGGTCTTTAGGGTTTAAGGTTTTAGGATTTCGGGGTTGAAGTTTTAGGCTTTTAGGGTTAAAGTTTTGAGGTTTGAGGATTTTAGGATTTTAGGCTTAAGGTTTTAGGGTTTTAGGATTTAAGGGTTAAGGTTTTCGGGTTTTAGGGTTTAGGTTTTCGGGTTTTAGGGTTTAGGTTTTTAGGCTTTTAGGGGTTATCACCATTACTCAGGGTTTGGGGGTCATCTTGACTTTGAGATGCAAGAAATTTGGGGAACCTAAGCAATGGAAAGCTTACATGGGCTTGAGGGTTCAGGATTTAGGGTCTGGTCGTTTTGGGGTTTAGAATTAGAGGATTTAGGGGTTAGGATTTCAGGGTTTAGGATATTAGGGTTGAGGATTCTAAGGTTTAAGGGATGAGGGTTTCGGGTTGAGGGTTTGCGGCTTGAGGGTTGGAGCATGCTTTGATGTGCGACAGACAGGTAGAAAGAAATCTACAGGGGTATGTGGAAATTGATGTGGAAGACAGGAAAACAAATGAAATGTCTACTGTGTAAATGGGAAGGCTGTAAGTAGAGATTAAGGTTTAGGGTCTGAGGAACCAAAACTGGGCTGATTCTGCTCAGAGATGTGCTTGCTGTGGCACATGGCACATGTCGGGACCTAAATAACTAAAATGTGGATACGGAGCACACTTTCCAAAACTAATCGAGGCTTATCGTGCCAACTTGCCAAGGTACAAGAAAATATACGAGCTATAGTCTAAACTCCTTCACGGGTGATTGTATAGGGACTGCTACAAAGGTTATTGAGGGGGATACTAGGAGTTTAGACTATGACTCATATATTCAGGCTAGACCCTAAACCCTACACCCGGAAGTAAGCCCTACGTCGTTTGAGCCATGCGTTTTCTTCTGGCCCTAAACCCTAAACCCTAAAAACCCATTTATGCCCGGCCGCGGCAGAGTGAATTCTACTACTGTTGGGGAGACTGACGGCCTGAGCTTCCAATACCTTCCCTCATCTGGGTTTAGGGTTTAGGGTTTAGGGGTTCAGTTCAGGGTTTATGAAGCTATCGTATTATGGGTATATAGCGAATGCTAGGGTTTCTCTATGATAGTAACTTGGTAGCAACTCAATCATTCTTGAATTTGGATCCGGCCACAGCAACTAGGTTTAGGTTTAGAGTTTGGGGCTTAGGGGTTCAGGGTTAAGCGCTCAACCCGAGCCCTTCTGACCTCCAGGTTTAGGGTTTTGGGTTTTATCATGCGCTGACCTATACAGACCCTGAGCTGAGAATTCGTCTTCTTCTTGAGGACTATCCATGATCTGAGGAGTGTACGTTTGGGGTCCCCAAAAGAAGGCTCTGCGCAAGCCTTTCGTCTCAGGCCGTCAGCACCGGCTAACCCCAAAAGAAGGATTAAAGTATTTGGGGCATTTATTGGGGCCCCCTGCCCTATTTATGGTAACTGCCGATTTGAAGTTGAAGACTCTGCTCCCGAAGGCAGGAAATGCTACTTACTATGCCTACTGCTGCACTTTAGCTAAGCTGAGCCATAATCCGTCAGCGCGTACAAGCCCTATACTCTCCTTCTCATCCGTATTCACCCCTAGGGTTTCAAAGGACCCTATCTTGAGCATCACCCATTTGGGTGTTTCCCACTACCCGAAGCCCTGAAAAAACCTTCTGTGTTTGCCTTCTCTCAAACTAACTTGCAACACCAAAAATGGGGCTATGAAGAGCATGGTTCTCTCAGAAGAGGGCCATATGGAGTTCCAAGTTCGTGTAGAGGATTGGCAAGGGTTTATAGCGTTCCCCTTGTAACCGGGCTATGACGACCAATTCCAACTTAATATCGCCTATTGCCTAGAACCCATATAGTAACCCAATTTATCCCCATTATTAACCTAGTATCTAAGTCCCCCTGACTCAAAACCCCAAACCCTGAACCTTAAACCCTAAATCTTAACCTACTTGCTAAGTCCCCCTGACCCCCTGACCCTCAACCCCAAACCTAAACCCTCAATAATATGTGTATATATATATATATAGTAGCTTCCATTTTCTTTTCCATTATCCCCATATAACCCCAATATACTCCCTAATATAACCCCTTTTCTTGCAGACTCTACCCCCTCTGGGCAGGCAAGGAGGCCGACAACTTCTTCAATGTTCTGATCGTTGTGGCCTTCATTGTCTTCAGCGTGGAAATTATAGCGGCCTCATTGGGGGACCGGACCTATTTGTTAAGCTTCTTCTTTTATTTGGAATCTTGGCTGCATTATTCCTCTATTCAACTCGGAGTTGCCCTTTGCAACTCGATGTTGCAGGCCGCGATCATGAAATGGCGGCTAATTGTGTGAGAGAGGACCCATAGGTCCAAACTAGTGAGAGCCAAGCAATGTGCAGGTCGTTGCATTGCTGCCATTTTGTCGAGGCTGGATGTATTGCAGCTTTGTCCGTCGTCAAGCCCTGTGTTAGCCCAAGTTACCTTGTTTTTCTGCATTCGGGCAAGAGCCCGTGCTGCGACCAAACCTCAATGTGGCTGAAGATGATAGTAAAACTCCTGCTCCTCCTCGTGCGCTCAGCTCCCACTCGTAGCCCTCAAGAAAGCTACCAGCACGCAGACTTTGAGGATATTCTGGCAACTGGTACCATGCTCGTGGACCTCACTTGGTTCGGGAATTTGCTGCACCTGGGGTAAGTTTGAGAACACTTGAGTTTTTGAAGATGTGTGTCCTAGACTACGAAATGAAATGTGACTCTGAGAAAGCAAGCTGGATGAGGTACTGCAAAGATTACAATTCCTTCAGCTCCTTGGAAGACATTGGGCTGTGTCAACAGGTTTGAAAACAGTTTATGGCATCTGACTAGGCAGTTTTGGCATCAAGCCCGCGTTAGCAGGCTCATTGTAGTGCTGATAAACATCAGAGGAAGAAGAATACAAAAGTAGCCATAATATGGTGATGCTCTAAAAACGAAAACGAGCGGCAACATGAAACATAGAAGGTTCTTTGCAAAAATCTTAGCAGCTGCCTTTCCGGGCGGTTGCGGGCCATAGAGTCCGCAGTTCTATCCAGGGGTTCTCCACTCTGGCTCCACGCCTTGTCTCAATCGCAGTAGTGAGTTTGTTGCGCTTTGGAGTTCCCGCGAAAAAATAGCCCTTGAGGTAATGTCATTCAAGTTCGCCTTTGTGCAAACAAAATCCCCAAGACATTAGCTGCATCCTGCTTGGACGGACCAAGGTGCAGCCAGCTCGAGCAGCCTAGAAGGAGCCGTCGCCAACCTGGCCGACACCCGCGCGGCCCGGACAGTGCGGATCCTGCGGTGCCTTGGAACCCAATTGAGCCCCCAGTACCCTGCAAGATGTGTTGAGTAGGGTTTAGATGGGAGCTTCTAAAACGCTACGAGTCGTGACCTTCGAGGAGATTTTGAAAAAGATGTGGAATTCAGGGTTGAAGTCTTACCCTACACCTGCAGCCTGGAGGGCTCGTGCTGGATCCATATTGGGGTTCTGAGCAGGTTGTGGCCTATGGAAGCACAAGCACATGCTGTCCCTTGTTCCAAGGCTTGTTCGGCTTGGAAAGTCACTTGGCTGTCAAGACTCGGGCTGTAACACAGCAACGGCAAGGTAGTAGGAGGATGCCTGCCGCTGCCGGTGGCGGCGGCAGGCGTGGTGGCGGCAGCAACAGCAGTCAGACAAATGCAGCTTTTAGCGCAGCGGCAACAGCAAGGGCGGCATATGCAGATCACGATCGAGAAATGGAACTAGTCGCAGTACGAAGGCAACCAGGATAGCAGTAGTCAAACTAGTAGTACCAATAGATGCGCCACATCTGAAGGCTGTACAAGTTTTACCAGCGCGGCATGGAGATTGCCAAGTCAGAGCCCTTGTACGCTGTGCCGCCGGGCAACCCGAACGAGGACAGGTGGAGACGGGGTGCCATGAATGCAAAGGAAGCAGCTGCCGTGCGCAGTTTTCTATCGCACCGACCCCTGCAGCTGTTTCTCATGAGACAGCCAGAGGGTCTGTTATCTGGCCCAGGGCCCCTAGAGGATGAGGATGCCATGGAGGGAGTTTCTTTTAGACATTAGATTCCTGTAAAACTTGGGTTCCTGGAAAATGCTGAATTTCAAGCCCATTCCAAAGTCACTTACGGATTACAGTGCCCTCGCAGGTGCTGTTGTGCAGCTGGAAAGACACGAACTCTAATTGCGTGCTGACGTTTTCGAGAACCTTTTGTCTGCTTTCATCCCTCGAACATAGGAGCCGTGTTTTTTAAGCTCATCTGGAAATCTTGTTGTATCCACCTCTGATTTGGCTACCTGTCGCATGCCGGGAGCCAACACAGGGGCACCCCTTACGTGCACAAAATGCATGCCGTACTTTGTAGGGGGAAAATCCCAACAGCAGATATTCACAGATAACATGTTGGTAAGGCTCCCCACGACAGAGCCATGATCCATGTCCTCGCCTGCGGAGCACATTACGCATGCCCCTAGTGAGAATATATGTCGCACTGAGGGCCATAATAAGCTGTTCTGGAGAACGAGGTGGGTGGAGCCGTAGCCTGCGTAGGCTTGTTTATCCCTGCCTGCCCCATTTAGAGGGCTTCCTTTCAACTGATATTTTTTGGCAAGCCATCTCCCGAAATTGTGCTGAAGAAGGAGATGTGGGATCTCACGGAGACTGGCTTCCACGAGACAAAAGATGACGCCGAGATGGATGGTCAAGCAGAGACCAGATGCTCTCGATGCACAAAATTGCGCAGCGAAATGTCCGTATAAGAATTGTGTGGAGTTTACAGGATTTGGCTGTACACTTTTAGCGTATATATAGGGTCTGGAGTCTAGGATTGTATTTGTTGAGCACTGGCATGACTCGATTCACCATCTTTCCAAGATTCCCCTGGCAGTATCTATAACAAATCCTCAGATCCTCATGTAGGCTTGGTGGGTGCATTCTTGTCAGTATGATATGAGAGCTCTTTTGGGGCCAGCCCCCGCCTTGATGTGCGTCTTCTTCGCCCACAAAGAGATCTTGATTTTACATCCGCCCTTGTTCCCGCTAAGGAGTTGGCAAAAAGCTATCGAACATGACCTCTCGGAGAGTCATCGTGCTGACCCTCATTATGCTTTTCTGCTCCTTGCCTGGTAGAGCTAACCGCGCTTGTTCAGTCTCAAGCTAGGAAGCAGGGCCCGATATAGTAAGAGGCCTTGTGAAGCGTAGTGGTAACTAATGCGCTAACAGGCGGAAGGGAGTAGGAAACGTTCAGAATGCCTTGGAAAGAACGGGTTCCCCTCCTTAGTGCCTCCCCTGGATTATGCGCACTTCGTGTGCAAGCTGAAGACCTCAGCCGGTAAACCCGATGAAAGCTCTTCTGAAACCCTCGCCTGTCATGTCCGTTCACAGAGTTCAGAGCCTTCGAATTGCCTGCAAAGACTGAAGGCCTTGTCAAAGAGGAACGACTTCATGGAACGAGGCCCATGACAGTTTGGATTCCCTTTATATCCTCTAAAATGAACAAAAATTGACAAGGAAGCCGTGAGACCCGACTCTCAAAACCAAAGTCACATAAAGCATTCCCGGCAATGGTTTGCATCTGTAGGCTCCAGCTTCTTCAATGCCGAGAGCTGGGGCCAGGACTGAGGGTTTTTTCTTTTGTAAAAAGATTATGGGCTTGGGAAGTTAAGGGTTCAGTGGTTTTATGGCTCAGGGATTTAAAGTTGTTGGGTGTTTGTGAGTTCAGGGTATAGGGCCCAGGTGAAAAAGGGGACCTGCAAAGGCTTCAGGGCAAGGTCCTTTTACAGGTTTGATGGTGTTCACTGAGAGTTTATGCGACATAGAAATAGGAATTGCTAAGCAGGCTAGCAGACCATAGTATACATCACAGAGGGACATGGTCTCCCCCTTGCAAGAGGGCACAGAAACACTTCATGGCCAGGAATTCAAAAGCTCCGGAGCCATCGGAGCTGATCTTATTTATGAGCAGCTTGGTGTTGGATTAGGGTTTAGGGTTTAGGGTTAGTTTTAACCCGCTTTGGGTTGGGCCCCCCAAAACAAACAACTAGAAGGGAATCCTGTTTCTCAATTCTGAGGATTTTCGAAAGTATTAATCTAACTCCAAGACTGGACATTAAACAAGGTAGCGCGCCACCAAAGCGGTGTAAGAGTACTTCCGACCAATAAAAGCACCCCCCTAATACCAGAGATGCCCTGAATTCGAGGTGGCGCTAGATTTAGGCCAATTTTTTGGAGGGGCATTTAGGAATGGTGATCGGGAGGTTCTGCCAGGCTTTTGTGCATCGAGCAGGGAACAGGTACACTGCACATAGCCCATTTTGAAAGCCATGATACAGCCCTTTTTTCAGGTGTCCATGCTACATTCGCTGGGGGAGGGAAGGATTCTTGATTTCTGTGTTGGACTTGCAAGACGGACTGCCCTCAAGTACTCGTGTAGGCAGGCCTCAGTGCGGCGCAGATTCAACGAACCATGGTGCCCCAAACGAGCAAACCACTTACTGACAACTCCCACCCTTTCCTGTATAATGTTGCTGGATCAATGGTGGACGGCACCAATGTCCCTCAATCATTCCAAGAAGAGTGATGAGTACTACAGGTAAGATGCAGCAGGAGCTGGCGGCAACTTAGTAGCTACATAGGTATTCTTTGGCTACTATAACCACATGTTCTTGGCCTAGGGACCTCAGCACCTGGGGTAAGTATGCCGCATGTAGACCTTGTTTGAAGATTGCCGAGCCAGCCACGACCACAATTAGCTTCCAGGTTAAGGCTCCAGAGCCTGTGAGGCCCTTCCTGAAGCCACTCTGTGAGACTCCACACATCCATTGTTCATGCTTCAGGTTTTTCTGGCAGCCTTCCCTTCGATGACATTGACGAGTCCTAGAAACGCCTGTACGACTCTAGAAGCGTAAAGCCTTGGACACCATGTGTTGCTTCCTTGCGGAACAACGGCACTAAAGGATCCCTGCCATCTCTTAGGTGGGCCTCCCAAGAAAAGAGTTGCGGAGTGAACCCTAAACCCCGAAACTGTGGTGCAGCTGTGGCCTGACGGCCTCAGGCGCTTTCGGTCCTGGTGCCCGACTTCCACCCCTGCCCCCAAGCTGCAGGGAATGTCTCGGGTCCTGCCTTGGAAGGTGTTATGTAGGGGACAGCGAGAGTTGTTGCAGAGCATTCGAGACTAATTACGGTGTAGGGAGTTCAGGCTGGGGCGGTCTTCGTCTCCATATCATATTCCCCGTGCTGTTTGTGGTTTGTTTGCTTTGGGTTGCAAACTTGGACGGCTTGCATAATGCGGCTAGGGAAGGCTCGCATGGTATGACTCTCTTGGCGCGTTTGAGCACTCTTGCAATTGTGGTCATATGAGATGACAGGTACCATCCGTGGCAATTGTGATCATGTGCCATTTTGAGTGAACAGTTGCGCGGTCCCTGTGCCGTGCATGCTGTCGTTGAGCTCACCTACGTTTCGATTTGGTGCATTTGGCTGAGGGCGTGCCATGGTGTTTGCAAGCGCAACCAGAAGAGAATCCGACAGCGAGATGGGAGCAGCCTCTCAACTGCACCGCAGATCGCCGATGCTGGCGTTCGGGCTTGGCCGTCAAAGTGTAGGGTTGCAAGGCTGGGATTTGAGGCGTGAAGTTCCTCGGCTTTGTGGGGCCCAGCAAGTAGCCCCGGTGCCAGACTAGGCCACGTGCTGAAGATGTGAAGTGCCAAGCAGAAGAAACGTCATGCAATCCTTCCAAACCAAGCGCCCGAGTGCTATTCTATGACGGCCCGTTATCATATGCTTCTTCTGACTGCTCTTTCTCCTCTGCTGTCATTGTCTTCTACGCCCTCTATGTCTACTGAACCAATAGTTATTGCTTCTGCACACCTCCATCATGACTAGAACGGCAGAAAGAGAAACGCACAGCTGCAAAAGGCGAATGTGGTACGAACAGTACCTGGTGGAGTTCGTGCGTAGCCATTTGAGCAGCTGGATGGCAGCCGGTCTTCCTCAGATCTAAGCCTGGAATATACTGTCTTAGCTTTGGGCTCACATAGTGAACATGCATGATAAGCACCACTAGGGTGAACAATGCGACAATTCGCTTTCGAATGCAAGTAATCTTTGAGTTGGCCTTTTCTAACTTCAGGCTTCGCCGAAGATGGCTCCTGTCCGAAAGGGTGCGCAAGAATCTTCAGACTTGTGTACGTGTGGGCACATGTGCCGACAGAGTCTGCGCACATGTCCGCAGGCAGTAGGGTGCATGATTTTTGCCAATCCTCGAACCCTTTCTTTGATGTCTTCCCTCTCCAGCCCTGTACCCCATGTGAACTTGCTTCGTTCTTAGGACAACATCGCTGAAAATCCCTACTTTCCCAAACTCTCTCAAACCTCTTCCTGAGCTGTCTGCAAGCGTAGCCTTTCCAAGGCGGCTCCTTCTCGTGGCGCCCAAGTCTTAGCTTGCAGAATTCCTGATGCGACCTTAATCTTCGGATCCTCATTATAATCCCTATTAGGGGGAGGGGGTTTATTAATCAGGGGTTTACATAAGTTTACATCAGGATTCACAGTAGCTCCCAACAAACTTGGGACATTGAAAATGGGACATGCAAATCGAATGTCTTCTGCAGCCTTTTGCTATTTCCAGGTGGACGGTGTTTTCGCAATTCTCTGGCTACTTGAGGGCTTCACTCAGCACATGGACATGCGATAAGCACAATGGCTAGTCTGAGCATGCACGTTATCCTTACCTAGATGAAGCTACTCCAATGGGTAAGGCAGCTGAGGCTCGGAGTATTTGTGAGTAAGTTAAGGGAGGACCCATGGCTCAACATGCATGAGTCGGAAGAGCAAATCAGTGATCCATGCGCTGCGCCTTGAAAAAATGCATGTGCGATGCGAGGTCTCTACTGGTTGGGCCTGAAGTCTGAGACGTTGTTGGCCTTCAACGGCAGTGAGACTTCGACAGCTTCTTGGCTGGCAATTGCGAAGCTCAAGCGGCCCCACCATTTGAGGGTTTCCCAGAATTAGGGGTACCTTTTTGGGGCTCCCCATAACAAGGATTATAGTAGTTGGGGGTCTATATAGGGGTACCCCAATTTAGGGAAGCTACCATTTCTACTATCTGAGGTTGTCCTGGTCGTTTATCCTGAGGTCAGTGCACGGATGTCGTGCCAACAATCCGTCAATGCTTTGTATGTCTCCGCGTTGTGGCATATAAAATGGCAAGCCTGCCATTCCTAGAGCTCTCCTGGAGTTGCCCGAGACCCGCGTGATCAGTGAGCCCCATGCTCTGTCATCTATTAGCAGCTATAATCCCAAAACCTCCCTACACCACTTGAGAATGAAGCCTCCCGATGTAGTCCAGCATTTTTGCGGGAGGGAGATTTCATTGTCAAGAGGGGGGTGGTCTCGATTACCAAGAGGACGAGACCACTCCAACCTTCTTGTTTACAGCCCATCGTGCCTAAACCCTAAACCCTAAAAACAAACGTCCCTTTTGGATGAATCGGGATCGTATAGACATGTGGCAACGCTGAAGTCTGGACTATTTCAAGGGAACAGGGTCCGGAATTGTCTCCCAGGTGTGAAGCATCAATATTGAACAGTGAAGGTCTCCTCTGTACGTAATATTGGGCCTAAGTAATTACTAATATTATGGTTCCAAATTCCTTGTATAATTATGGTATATGGTATATGGTACAAATGGACCTCAACATGATATTGGTAATTATTTAGGGCCCTGTATGTATGTCAGGTAATGTGATCATGGAAGCCGTCACCGGAAGTATAGCTATGCCAGACCCCTGGGAAGATCTAACTTGTAGTTTAAAAAACATAGTAAGGCTACTAACAGCAGTAATACTACTAATAATGGTCAAGCCCATGATTGTCGGGAGATGATACTCCAAGGACTTCTGCATGTAATTGTAGAAAACTCCCCTCGGCTCTAGCCAATAAATTCTTACAGGCAAAAGGGCTGCGTCTCTGAAGAACCTGAACACTTAACACATGAGGGCTTTCGAACCCAGGGGTCTTGCTCCAGTAGTTTCCATTGTATTCTCAGGCCTAGGATTCACAGGCCCCTGCAGGCAGCGGAAAGCCTCAGAAAGCCTGCAACATCAACTTTCTCCACGTCCCATGCGCCCTGAGCCCGAACCTTACAGCCTGAACTGCGAACCCTGAACCTCGCCACAAGGCCAGATACCTTTTTGCCCGCTAGGTAAGGAAAACCCCAAGCTATAATCAGGTCACATCCTATAGTCTCTGAAAATCATTACAGACAGCGCTAGTGTTTGGAATTCGCCTACTTAGCATTTCCTGCGTTGAGGAGTTCTTGGGATCCCTTGGGCGGCTAAACCAAGCGCGCTTTCTGGGAACAGCGCTTGAGGAGGACGGAAGATGGGGCTGCCTGTAGCGGCTCTGGACATACACAGATCTGGGATATATGCGTAATACTTACCTACCTACCTACCTACCTACCTACCTACCTACCTACGAATGTACACACACTTACATATATATGTATATAGACGTGTGTGTATATGTATGTTACACATATGTAGATGTTTGTGGGCATGTACATCTGGCAATGGAGGGTATGGAGGGTTTCTCCTTCCAAAGACTCGACCGAGTATGAGTTGAAAAACATGTTTCTCCATGGGGATTGCAGTTTGAGTTTCGTAGACCAGAAGCTAGGGCTAGCCGGGACTGATACAGGTACCCCAAATAGGAGGCGGATGTAAGACTCTTGACAGGGAATTGTGACGCGCGGAGAGTCTGAGGTTACATGCATTGTTATGTACAGTAGGCAACATATAGGGGCCACGTGTCTGAAGGGAGCCTAGCAGCAGGCATGGACATGTTTCTGGAGCTCAGAGTAAGATTTTTTGCCTAAGGGTTATACAGACTGCTGTATTGAGGTGGAGATCATGCCCTGATTATGGGATGTAGGGGCTATGCTGGGTTGCATTCCTTCCCGTTCCCATCCACGAGGCCAGATAAACTTCCTGGAGGTTCGGGAACGGAAGAATGGATGCTTTCAGCAGCTCTCACACAATCCCCTAGACCCCCCATCAGACCTCGGCTTGCACCTGTCATGGTGGGTTTTTTTTGCTCTCGACCTAGGATGCTAAACCCGAAACCCCTGTTGGGGGGTTTTATGGAGAACCACCAGCAAGTAAAAGGCAAGCGAAGCGACCAGCAACCACCGCATCCATCCAATCTTCTAAACCTTTGTAGGATCCTTCTGGGAGGGCCCAAAAGAGGTCCATAAGAGGAGCCCGAAACTTCCCTAGCCTTGTATTTTGGAAGGTCATGGGGACTTAGTAAGTAGGTTAATAAGTCCCATAATCCATATAATAACCCCGAGTATCCCCATTATGAACCTACTTACTAAGTCCCCATGACCCTAAACCCTAAATATGTGTACATACATATAATATAGGTATATATACAGTGGTTTCCATTTCATTTTCCATTACAAGCCACTTACCCAGTCCCCAGGACACTAGCACTGTAGTCCCAAAACCTTGAGGATGAGCTCTGGCGATGGGATGCCTTCAACTCCTTCCACCCGCAGGGGCCCATCCCCCAAGAGGCCTCACAGGGACACAAGCAAATGTTTGTAAAGATATGAGGGACCTAATTTCTCCGTACGTATTTCGAATGTCTCCAAGAAGAGTGAAAGTAGTAGGCACATGCTTTTGGATCTGTGACCTGGTCAGTCCTGTTCGCAAATTATCTGCAATCTGTGCCTGGTAGTTTGGATGACTTCCGGGTTGCTTTCGAATACTCTGTGGCGAAAGTTGCAGCCGCCAGAGCATTCGACGTCCTTGATGAAAGACTTGCACGCTTTTTGCTTCACGACTTCCAGTGTTCTGAAACTCCCAACAGCTTCAGGTGAAGAAACGGCTGGCAAATGTTTGGCGAGAGCAGTGCCTGGGCTTCTTCGGAGTGCCCGTGTCTCCCAACAGCCGCTTGGCTGTGAGTTAGCAGGAAGAAAAGTTCAAAGCGCACCGTCTGCATCTCCCACACTTTCGCGATATACTGTGTACTAAGAGTCCTTTAGTTCTCACGATTGCCTAGGCATCCTAAGAGGGAACACCCAAACCCATTTTGAATCCCCAAGTATCCCTAGAGTGCTTGGGACTTCCCTTCCTGAACAAATCTACGTCATGCGCTGAGGCCAGACCTACACCTTGTCGACTGCTTGCTCGGTCACGGACACGCTTCGGTGTAATGAGGCCTTTCCCAGTTCTGGCTCCGTTCAGTGTTTAAAGAGGGGGCTGCTTGAGTAGTTGCTGGATTGGTTCCCCACAGATTGAACGTAATGTGCCCCGAGCTCCGTAATGCGCAAGAATCGTTGCATCAAGATGCGCAGGCAACAGCGCAAACATGATTGCGCCAGGTGCATTACGACACACCCATGAGGAAGACGGAAGAGGACAGGGGTCATGCGATTCTGCAGCAGATAGAACTCAAGTTCACCCATGCCAAAGAGCCCTTAAAGCTTAATCCCTGAAGCTTGATGAAGATACCAGATGAATACGCTCCTCGAAATCCCTGCGGATCGGAGAATATGAAGATATGGGGCTTGAAAAAAAGCTGTTCAGTGAACCCAGGCTCCAAGCTCTGGATCCTAGGCCCGAATCCGTGGTATTTGTACTCATGGGCGAGGGAACCTACCCATAAAGGGTTACCAAATATTGGTATAATGGGGTATAGCAAGGGCATACAAGATATCTCCTGACTCCAGTGTCCTCAAAGGAGCGCCTGTCTACTACACCTACTTGGAGGATCATGGGGTCTTAGCAAGTATGTTAATAAGCCCTATAAGCCATATAACAACCCCAATTACCCCCCTTATGAACCAACTTAATGAGCCCCCATGACCCTCCAAGTAGGTTGGCTGAACCGAGGTGGATTTGCTTTTCGCTTTTGACACCCGCCCCGTGACGCAGAGTGCCGCCGGCTTGAACATGCCCCGGCCTTGGTGTTGGGTTGGCTCACTGGTAGTAAAGTAAAGGGTCACAACAGTAGCCCCCCCAAAAGGTACCCAGGGTTTAAGTTGCTAATCCCCTTATAGAGGGGTTAGGGGAGTTAGGGGCCTTGGGGGGGAGTGGAGGAGCACTGCGAAAAAAGAGAGTGTCCAAATGTTGAATTATCTGGGAGTCTTGGGAAGGCCTGTCGGATTTGGGGGTCTGTTCCATAAGGATCCGGGGATCTACTAAACGCCTGGCCTACGTAGGCTTGAAGGCTGAGGGTATCAGGCGTGAAAACTGAAAGTGTCAGGTTTCTCTCTTGCCTATGGCTTATTGCTGAGCTTCAGCACAGGCACCCCGCCTCAGCTCGAGCGCTTATCAGATCCCAAGTTTAAGGTCTGGAGTCATTGCTTAAGGTAAGGAGCCTCTAGGGTGAAGGTCTCTCATTTCAGGCACACAGGTCTTGGGATCTAGGTTGATCCCGTAGTCATGTCCATGCGGCACCGCTTCAGTCTGCTAAGCAAGTGCATTGCGCAGGCGAGCTTACCTAGTGTTCACGCAGACTGCAAATCAGTGGCCACTCACAGTCCGGATGCTCATGAGCAGACCGAGGGCAAATTTCATCAGCTTGGCATCCCACTACAGGGCTTTGCCTGGCTGGTTTCGGCTATCGCTACGCATCGTTATGACTTTTCCTCAACTCAAAGCCCCAACCCCGCACGCAAAGCCACTCTTGCAATTTTTTTGCTTCAACCTGAAACTTGACACGGCATCCGTCATCGCTGCGCAAGGTGCCTTGAGACCGGACCCCCAAAAAACGGAACCGTTTCCCCCACCCCTCCCCCTTCTTGCATCATTTTTAATTGGCTGCTGAGGCTCCAAACGTGCTTCATTTGCATGGCCCTAGCTGCTGGGGCAATCTCCTTCGCTCGGGATGCACATGCTCTGCTGCTTGGGCCCTTGGAGCGGATCTTGGTCAAGTTGGAGGCCATGCTTGAAGGTTAGGGCTTAGGAGTTTAAGGTTTAGGTGGGCTCTCTCTAACAGATGAGGTCTCAGGGCCCTCCTGCAAACTGTTTACAGCATTTAGGCGTTGGTGTCTTAGTGACGGGCGATCTGATTTTACGGGCTCCCTTTCAGGGAGGGAGTGGGGTGTGAAGAGTGGAGGTGTTGGGGCAGTACTAGGGCTGAAGGCAGTGTTTTGACAGGAAGCGTCACGCTTGAAGCAATACCGCACCCTTCTCTGGGTGTTTTCAGGTGTTTCAAGGGTTTCAGGCTTGTACCCCTAGGGTTGTACCCCTGGGTTTTGGGGTCCGTTCAAGGGACCCTGCAGGACCACATTGGCCCATATAATGGCTATGTGAGAGCCATTTTAGGGAAACCTTCTAGGGCCTTAGGGGTGCAACCCAGGAATTCTTGAGTGTGGCTTGTATAGGTTGCCAAGACCCCGTAAGCTGGTCTAAGTGCTAGTCCCCCATCAGCACATCTGAGTGATTCTGATGTGAGGCTTTTGAGAGGGTCCGGGCCTTTGGGTGCACTGCGATTCAGGCTGAACAGGACTGGTTTGTTTTTTGCTTCCCGCAAAACTTGTACAGCTACACACTGAAATTTATAGATTCGGCTTTTCGCACTTGGCCTAAAGGGAGGGAGGTTGTCTGTGGGCAATATATAGTCTCCCTTTAGTAGATATAACATGGGGTAGATGGATAGTATACCCAAAACCGTATTCTGTCTACTTAAGGGGGACTAGAGGTCTTGAAGTTATTGGCAGTTTAGGGTTTAGAGTCTGGGGAAAGGCGAGGTGAGAAGTAGGACCTGAGGAAAATTATGACAAAAAGCTGCGGTAGGAGAGTTGCAGCCTGCTTGTACACAGCCCAAAGCCTCCAAGTAGGTCAGGGTTTAGGGCTTATAGTCTCCCTTAAGTAGATAGAAAATGGGGTATATGCAATACTCTATCTACTTAAGGGAGACTATATGGTTTAGAGTCCCGATGGCGCAGCAGCCAGAAGAGTCGCCCTGTGTTTGAGGCAGGGCGTTTATTACGGCTTTGGTTGAGTGCACATAGGGTTCCTTAGGGAAATTTGGTGTCCAATTTGGGAGACCTCGATCCAGTTAAAGCCATGGGTCACTTATGTGTTGTCAAAGTACGCTTCCAGCCTAGACCCTCCGAGTACCCTCCATTATACCCTAAACACCCATGAGAAGGGGACCATATGCGTGCCCCTATTTAAGGGTACAAGCGAAGTCTTGGAAATTGCAGGCCATCAGGAAGAATCCCCTGCATGCCATGAAGTTGGGTGACATTGACTACAGGCCGGGTCTGAGCTCAGAGACATGGAGACTTAGTATATTGGGATTATATTGGGATGATGGAAAAGAAAATGGAAACTATAGGGATTACAGGGTACAGTATATATTGGGGTTATATTAGGAAACTACAGGGTTTAGGGTTCAGGGGTTTAGGGATTGGGATTATGGAAACTACTATCGTATATTGGGGTTATTCATTGACATCACTGGATCCTTCCAGAAAGGGGGGACCCCTGATGTACCCCAATATACGACCGTTGTTATAGGATACCATTAGGAATGGTCTGGATGGAACCCAACATTGCTGGGTGGGCAGGCAGTTAGCATTTGAGCGCGGAACTTGCACTTCGAAGTACGTTCCTGCCAGGTTTCGGGTTCATATGATATGTGAGTTTCTGCAAAGAATCGCCAAGTATTCTCTATGGGGAGGCCGATAATCCCTTCATGATCCCTCTATACCCCAGTACATGGAACTTGCCCTGGACATGAGGATGCAGGAGATGGAAGAAGAGGAAGAGGCCAACAGGCAATTTGGCTGCAAGATGGATTGCCAGACTTCTGAAAGGATCAAGAAAGTAGAGCCCAGTCCAAAATCCTAGGACAAAAGTGTCCAGAAAGTGCAACTCCCTTCATCCCTGCATCTTAAACCCAAGACCCTGGGGCCCAAGACCATGAACTCCAAAAGCCGCAACTTTCAAGGCAGGGCTGCTGCCGCAAGAAAAAGGTGGCAAACGATCTCGAGACGCTGGAAACCGCAATCCTGGAAAGGAGCGCCCGTAGGGGTTTGGGGGTTTCTGGTTGCTCCTGTTTATAGCTGAGCTGTCTTGTGATGTTTGAGGGCTTGGCAGGTTGTCAAAATTAGGGTGGGTGATATTGGGGGTCTAGGATGTCAGGTGAAAATTCCAGGCTGAAGGCTTTCAGGGCACATTGCTTCAGCTGTAGGACGTAGGTGTTAGGGCCTCAGATGGCATAGGAACAACAAGGTCAGAGCAAGTGAACATTGGTAGTAATACTGGTTCTAGGGACTAGTAGAGTGCTAGTTCTCATGAACGTCTTAGTGTTGGTCCTTGCCGCTAGACTGACCTCCAAGGAAAATTTCCCCATGATCCAAAAAGGGCTGGAAACCTTTTAGGCTTTAGGACCTTTGGGGAAGTCTTTTCGGAACCCTAAACCCTAACCCTTAGACAATGAGGGGAGTTCTGGACAGGACCCTGATCAAGCTCGGCGGCCTCCTTGCACTAGGCTTTGGAGAGGACCCACAGAGTTTGCACTTGGGGCGCTGCGCTTTCTACGCTTTGGATATGGCAAGCCGTGTTATCAGGGTTTCTGTGTGGTTGCTCAGGAGGGGGTACACGGCTGATCGTCAGGAAAGCATGTGCTCAGTTCAGTAACCCAGGGCAATGATGGCTATGCCAAAGGGGGATCCAGAGGGTGGAGACGTACCATATCCCAAAGCCTTGCAATTCAAAATATGAAAATAATAACATCTACACGTGTGAGACAGCAATCCGTGTAGGATTCTTGGCACATGTCCACATGAAGAATCTATGAAAGCAACCAGGCTGGCGCAGAGATCATCGTCCATAATATGCAGGGCGGGGCCACAGCCGAGCTGCACCTGGGCAGCCTTTGGATGCAATCCCCAGATGTTTGGGGAGGAGGGGGGTGAGGGGGGGTGGTTCCAAAGATAGACCACCATGTAACCATTGGACCATGTGTGGAACAAATTGCTTTACATACTTCTGAAAGTTTGTGTTTTTCGCGCGGTGGCCGAAGAATGAACCATTGCTATGGCTGTGCTACACGCAATGATGATGGCTGAAACAAAGGCCACAGTGCCAGGATGCGGCGGAGAATCCTCAATCCTCACCTTAGAGAAGCATCGATAGGAATGCATGAAGCCACATTAACTCACAAGACTCGAGAGAAGTCTTAAGAGTCATGCGGGCAACAGCCGTGCTAAGAATACTGTACCCCCACTAGGTACCCCTAACAGAGCTCCTAAATTCTGAGCGTTGGAGGGATTGCTCCTGAGCAGCTGAACCCTGGATACTTACTCAGCCCGTGTTGTATGATAAACGTGCAAAACCGACCTATTATGAGGAGCCTTTGGAGGTTTGGTGAACTTGCTGTCCTAGCCTAAGCCCTGGTAAACTTAAACCTATTTCCTAACTGCCGGCTCAGGAACGCCATGGTTCCAGGCCCGTGCGCATGCTTCATCGCCGAGGTTTTGGTCAGTGATTAATTCCTCTAAGCATTGAAATAATGTAGTAGGCTTTTCTGACAGATAAAAAAACATCAGATGTGTTCGGGCCTGAGGAAAAAGGTGTAGCGTGTAGGGTCACACTTCAAGTTTTATTGGGTAGCACTGGGTAGGAGCCTGAGCGACAGCAGCGGGCACCTGATTGTAAGGAAAACTGAGGGGATCCTGCAGACTGCGGCGTGGCAATTAGAAAGATCTGTTGGTGGTCACAGATGGCACAAAACCTGTGAGTTCCACGAAGCCCAAAACTGTAGTGATGTAAGCAGCTGCGCGTTCCCCTCTTTGCTGAGATCTCACAAGTATTTTCAAATTCTCAAGTACCCAAAGCCTTAGAGCTCAGCCCAATGGAGTGTTCCGACAGGCCAGGAGGTGGAGGCCGTCTTTGGCTTCTGCAGCATCCGGAACTTCACCGATGCTACGGACGTCCTAAAGGAAAAGGCCGGGAGTAAGAAAGCTCGGAAACCCTGCACCCCGGTTCTTATCACCTCCGCGCTGTCCAAAAAGACATTGAGTTGACGCTGAGATGCCGCATCAATGCACTACTACCTGAAGCACCTTGCTCATGGCTGGCGGCCTTGCACCATGCCCATTTCCAAAGGAATTCAGCGCTCGTTGGATTGTGTCCTTAGCCGAACCTCTAACTACGATTCATGACAACAAGAAGTAAGGTACACTTACTTCAGGATTGTAAGACTGTCTGGGCATGAATCCGGCCCTATTCTGCAGTAGAAGAACTCCTTTTGCGAGGTGATGGTCTTTGTCAACCAGGTCAGTGAGATCGTGCACGGTGCCCATCTCAGTCCAGGTTGTCTATCAGTGGTATAAGTAGTTTGGTTGTCGTGGTGTTGCTGGTAGCCTCGCGGATTCGCGGGCAGAAAGGGAAGGGTCAGTCCTGTAGATACCAGGCTATACTGCAGAGGACGAAGGCCTAGTTGAGGCGCTGCCTTCTAGCAAACGCGCTACCAATATCTCAAAGCAACGCGCGAATACCACAGCAACAGCAGCGCAAGAAAGCCTGTGAAAAACAAGCACCACTCACCCAAGATTATGCCCGATAGCAGCGATCACTTCAGTTGCAAACCAAGCTTCTTAGAAGCGAGAGTCTATGATGTCGGCTCATGTGGCGAGGCATCTGTGACACCTACCATGGTTCGCCCAACAAGATCATTGGCGGCAACTCCTTCTTGGTCGTGTCTTGCCTTTGTGGTCGAGGTTTGTCAACATCGCCTAGATCCTTATTCGCTATCACCTTCTTCTGGGTACCTACTTTTAGCAAGTATCCTTACAAAAGATAGTGCTGGCACCCCGAAATTGCTATGATATACGCCTGGGGGTATTTGTAGCGGATTCTGTGTTGGGTAGGGGTCGTTCTTATGGCTGTTCCGGCCCTCGGTACGGGGATGATGCGTAAGTCGATGTTATTAGAGCGCTTTGATTTGGAAAGCTCTGGTTGCTTCTGGGGTGTCTTACAGTCAGGAAGCACGTTTGAACTTCAGCTGCAGGCCGTGTTTCAATTAAGTCCAGGTGGACTTCAAAAAGGGTCATAGGCTCTAGAATGTAAATGTCAAGCTCCGAGCGCCGGATCTACAAAGATAACGATGCAGCCGCTTCAAGGCTTCAAGTTGAGGGCTTTCAAGAGACAGTAGATTAGCCAGGGCGGTCAAAGAAAGAAGTCTTTCTGCGACGGAATTGCGCATGCTCCTTTCAAACTAACCAAGATACATCACCGCTAGGAGCGCCAGCCTTGCGTTCAAATGCCTTGTAGCCTGACCACAAGACAAGATCTGAGCCCAGCTGCTACTCCTGGGCCTGCTTTGATGACTGTTGGTAGACTTCCATGACTGATATCTTGCCACAACTTGACAAGAGTCATGCTGGCGACCCTACACAAAGCTGCGGTACATTGTCGACCTGGAAGGTTTGGCGCTTGCGTGGCAAGGACGTTGAGGTCAGGTCCAAGATTGCCGACATGGCCGTGATGTCTTTTGTTACCTGGCAGCTGTCATGCGGTTGTCGACGATAGCGGGTTCAACTGATTTGGCTCCGTTCACTTTTCTCGTAATTGTTGCCACAAGCTCTGGAGAGCAGCAGTGCCTAATCCCTAGACCCGAAGCCCCAACCTTCAGCAAATCCTAGTCGCTGAATTTTCAAGCGTGTTGATTCAGGTATTTGTTGGGTAACCCAAACATGGCCCTACAACTGTTGGAACGGCCGCTTTGTTGTAATTTTGCTGTTTCATCGCCTGATACCTTCTGCCAGCAAGCCCCGTCCCCAAGCTGCCCCCTTGGTGGTCTGAGGTGTGCATCACCATTGAGGTGCAGAAGTCCAACATACTCTCCGCATATCGAACCCATCCGGGTCTGCAGCAACGCTTCCCGAACTTCCGGGCAGGGCCCTGAGGGAGAAGGGCGCACTCACTGGTAATGTATAAGCCGGAACAGGGGCAGGATTGCAGTGTATGGATGTTCATCCGCAGTTGTATCATACATACGTCGTAATTAGAACCATGTTGGTAGTACCGGTATAAGCATAGCAGTCACTACCCTTGGGCATCCAGGTAGAGGAGCCGAAATTCAAAATTGAAGCTGAGCGATGGGCCGAGGGTTTGAGAGGTAGGGGTGTGAAGGGGACTTCAGTAAGGTTTCCCTGGTGGCATAGCCCACCGTGATGAGGACCTGCATCCTTGCGCGTGTGCTTTCTGAAGCAATCCCTGCAAACTAAAACTCAAAACATTTGCCACCTGCTGTACGTACACCTGCAGCTGTCAATCCCGAGCCCAAAATCACCATCAGGTCACGCTGGGCTTCGGCTTGCATTGCGGCTGGGCCATTGAGGGTGCCATCGGCAGCGAGTACAAGATCGATGCATCCTATTTGTCACAGGGCTGCAGCGATCACGAGCCATTGCTCAATGGGACTCAATATGGGGTCAATTGCCGTAAGCCGAACGCAAAAGTTTGTTTAAGGCTCCCTAGTGATGCCTGGGCAATATATTGAGTTGAGTATTCTTGGGCTAGCAATGGGACCATTATGAAGTATTGCGCATGTCGTGGCGCGAAAAACCGCGATGCAGGTAGGTGGGCTGCTGTAGCCTTTGGAGGTATGGTGAACTTGGACTGAGGTCTCCAAATGTGAACGTGGCCTCCCAGCTGGAAGCAGCGTCCACACAGCTTCAGCTTTGGATCCTGATGTCCAGCTTCATGGTCAAGCTATGTGCCTCGCTTTGAGAACACTGGAGAATGGGGTGTTAAATCCAAATTTTTGTTACCCAGCGAATTTTAGGAATCTTCCAGCGCCTTCATGGAAGATTCAGCTCACCTCAAGAGCTTGCCAAGAATGAGCCAAAGCAGATGCCAGTAGAAGAGGGGCTTGCAGGTCAGAACTCTTTGGACACGGCTGAGGGCTTAGGGCTTATAGTCCCAATTAAGTAGATAGAATATGGCTTTGGGCATATTATAAAAGATCCCCATAGGCCCCATATTCTATCTACTTGAGGGGGACTATAGGGTTTAGGGGTGAATTTTTGTGCTTGCCTCCATCACAGTCCGGGAGATTGGGACGTCAAGGGCACACTTCTACCAGGCAGGCTCAGAAAGCCTGTTGCAAAAACTGGACTGAATTTATACCCAACCAGCAGAATGGCCATGACATGTGCTAATTATGCGCGACGCCACCGATTTGTAGGTCTGATCTCTGATCCGTTGGTTGTTGGTATTTTCCAAGGCAGAGCATGGAAAGCAAGAAGATGGCCTACTTGCAGGGTCGTAGATAAGTTCATAGACATTTACAACTCGTGTATGTGGGACCTGATTGTTGACTTCTCGTTCTTAAGAAGCCAATAGTATGATTGCGACGCCCATTACTCAAGGGTTGTTAGGAGGGACCCTTAGAAGGGACCTCTAATCCCATGACCTTATATAGCCCTTATTATGTATTACCCCCAGTAGGCTACAAGGGTCCCCATTAAGGGTCCCTCCTAAAGCCTGTAGAATTACGGGACAGGGAGAGTCTACAGGGCCGCTGCATGTGGGGAATTAGGGATACCTTTTTTGGGGTCCCTATTATAAGGAGTATAGTATATTGAGGTCTAATATTGGGTACCTGAATTTTGGGAAACTACCATGTTCCACCCCAGGAAGCGTTGAAGAACAAAGATGTTGTCATGTCTCTTCAAGAGGACCTCACGCCGCCAAAGAAAAACGAAAAGCAATACCCAAGGCTATTTGGGGGAGCCAAAATGGCTCAGGTTTATCTGGCAGTTATACAGTGGGTGGAGGTTGTCTCATATTATATTATTATAGTATATTTTAGAATATTATTGTACATTATAGTATATTCTTAGGAGAATCTCTCAACTTGAGATCTGGCACCTGAGAGCCTTTGCTGCATAATGTGCCCAGACAATCAGGTAGCAAGGAGCTGATCGAGTATCTGCGCATGGTGGATCATGTCATGCTGGAAGGCAGGGCTTTGCAGCTTCAAACCAGGTTCAAGGTTTGAGATTGCCGGGCTTCTATCTTTGGAAATTGCCTGGGCTGCGGGGCACAGATAGTAAGAAGGCTGACCCACGTAAGGTTGGCAGTTTCGAAACCGAACTCCCAAAGATTATTTTTCATATTTGGGTCAGGGCCGAAGGGCATCCCAGGGACCCCAGGAAGTAAAAGGACCCCTTGTTTTCGGAAGCCCCCACTCAAGCACGGGAACAGTGCATGGAGACAAAATAAAGCTTCGATCCCCTTGAAAGCTCATGGCCGCCTCATATGACTCCCCATATGAGCTACTGGGACCATGGGCATTACCCCCTCTAATGGAGAATCAAATGGAGAAGGAAATGGAAAATGAAATGGAAAATTGGATTATGCAGGGTGTGTCTCTGAGCTACTGTCAATGATAGGCTCCTTAAGGGACTCTTAGCAGTGGACATAGGGGTCCCTCCTGTGGTTTACTATAGTCCCTAATGTACTCCCCAATAAGGACCCAAGTCCACACCACTTATTATGTGGGCAATATCGATTAGGAGATCTAAGAGGGCCTAATAAAATCCCTGACAGTTCTTTGGGCGCGGGGCTCCATTTTTTCAGGAAACCGCCGCTGGCGGGTCATTATGGAAGGGATACACTGGGCGTTTCAAGGGACTCAGCTGGGTGACATCCTTTCTCAGCAGGATTCAGTCCTGTTCCTCACAAAGGCAGGAGTAGATTTCACGCCGCTTCAAATGAAGGAATCTGAAATCATGATTCGGGAATTTTGGGGATACAGTACGATTTTCAGGGAACACGACATTGCTTTGCCGGTTTGAAGAAAAAGTCATGCATGCTAGCGGCCTTCTTAAAGGTTCTGCTATCCCTAAACCCAAAGCCATGGGTGTGATCAGGCCAGGATCGAGGCTTCAGCTATGCGAGATGAGGGCTTTTGGTCTGTAAAGTTACCGCACCATGCGCCTTACACAACTCTGACACAGACCCGTGTCATTATCCTCCCCTTGTACAGAAGGCCCTTCCCCCATTGCTTACCCGCCCGCCTCAACGAACAAATTCCCTGAATAAAAACCTGAATTTCTGGAAGACTACTTTAACAAGGGCAAGACTACTCTTAAAGGGGCCAATCAATCCCTTCCTCATATTAATAAACCCCCCCAAATAATAGATAATAAATCCGG